TCTCCCCTAAACAGCAACAAAAAAAACCAGGAATGAAAAACATACGGACAGTACTGCAGAGTGGAATAACCAGTATTTCTGATAACTTATAAAATAAACATGAAGAAGAGGATGAGTGTTTGGGATAGTGCTTAGGACCTTTGCTTAGGTCAGCTCTTCGGATAGCTAATAAAATGTACCTGTCAAAACTGAATATTTAAGTGAACATTAGTAAGAAGGAAATTAAAGGTTAACCACAGGGATAGTCACCATGCATATTTTTCAATTACGCATCATGGGAAGAAAATATTTCAAACAGCTAATGAGCATGGAATATACCATCAACTTGAATTTTAATGGGGGCTAACTATATTCTTAGCTGAATAATTTAAATATGTCAACAGAAATAATCAAAAGATGGATTTCATTGACTCTCTTTCTGACAATGTGGATTTTTTGATCAGAGTGGCAGTGTTTGGATGCCCAGCTGCCGAAGGGCCTGACCCTCCAGGCTAATGAGGAAGAAGGGAGATGTCAGCGTGATGTATTCTTACCTTCTGATTGAGTCTCCTACAGGGCAAAAAGTCAGGAGGTCACATCTCTTGTGCCTGCCCAGGCAGCCTTCTCATACGTTACGGTCCCCGCTTTTGCCCCGTTGTTCAGTATTATGACATTTCTCCTGTAAACACCATCCCCGATAAGTTAAAAATAGAGTTGTTTTCTGCTATTTGTCCTCCTTTTCATCCAAAAAGGTGAAATGAAGAAAATGTCCACTCTTAGACAAGAAGTGTTATATTTCATGGTATGTAGTATTGATACTTGACCTACACAGGCTCCCAGAGAAAATGCTTAGTCATATTTCTTTGAGGCATAGAGCCCTGATCATGGAAGAAAACTCTTCAGACAGTGTATCTAATGCTGTCAGAGGCCCTTTCATCCCCCATAATAACTAATTCAGTCTTGGAAAAAAGGTTTCAGAAAGGCGCACCTATTTTGGGGACAAGAAGGAAGTCCTGGTTTGTGCATTTGATGCTTCGGGGAAGAACGAACATACTCAGAATTGTGTTCATGCTCTGAGTTTGGCAGAAACTCAGAGAGATGCTGGTTAAGAAACTGAAGAAGCTCATGGTTGGGTGAGATGAAAGAGAATCAGAGTTCCTCTTTTTTATAAATGAAAGCTGAGACACTGGACCAGATGCCCTGCTGGTGTAACTTAACGTTGCTCTGTCGAAGCTGTTAAACGTGTGCCCATTATTTTTATGAACTGAGGTCATGGGCACACGATTATTTTCCTTGTTTAATGGAGGTGGCTTGAGATACTACCATTTCCCAGCTGCTTGTTTCTGCCCCTCTGCAGGAAGATGCTCTCCTCTTCCCCAGCAGACCCAGCGGGGGAGGTGGTGTGAGCATTTGTTTTCCTGCAAAGTTGGCCAGTTTAGCGAAAACTATGTTCGTCAGCAGTTTAAGCTAATTGGGCTGACTTTACACTGACACTGGCAAAGAGGTGGTGACATGATTTATTGCACTGCTGAGCTGGGTGGGAGGAAGGATGGAGAACTAGCGTATGGTTTGGCGTATCAGTAGTGTATGGTCAAGAACAAGTGGGATCATTGGGTATTACAGCAAGAGAAGATACTTCTCACGCCCTGAAAATTCGGTCTGTTGTCATGCTGATGCAGAAACTACAACATTATTGGTGCTCAGTTGAATGTGATTTCTTTGGGGAAAAAAACCCCAAAACCCAAACCCCCTCTGCTTTCCTAAATGTTAATTTCATACTAAACCTGATGCTCAACAAATCACAGTTATTTCTGTTTCCAGACTAAAAAGTTTCAAATCAGTTTCTGCTGCTATTTGGAAGACAGGGGATATACACAGGAATTTCCAGCGTGCACATGCTGCTTCGCAGTATGAATATAAATCAGTTAAAGGGTAAAGGTCGTACGATTTTGTATTTCTCTTTCTTGCAACTTGAGGTCCAGGTTAGATGATTTATCTTAGAGGTAATGTAATGAGTGCTTATTCACCTTTTTGTGCTCCTACTTCAATTCAATGCAGCAGTCTGGGTTTGTGTCACAAAGTCTGCTGGGATATACTACTTCTAAAAGCAAATGCTCTTACTGAAAATTTTAAAGGCTATCAAGATATTTCCATACATTTTAAATTAAGTAAAATCTTTGTTTTTAAGCACAACTTCTAATTTGATTAACCTTACTTTTCTATGACTGTATTTAGCAGAAAAAGTGACTTCATCAGTTATCATTTAGATAGTAGATATTTTTGTTCAGTATGGGGTTTTGAAACATGAGATAACATGGTGGACCCCCACCCCTTAAAATACATTGCATCACTGAATTATTTTTTGCCTTAATTCACAACCTGAAGTATAGCTTTAGCCATATTATTAAAAATTCTTAGTTCTTACCAATGTTTTGTTTTGACTAATTAGTTGATCAGAGAGAGTTGCTTCTTGCCAAATTAAAAACAAAAAAAATTCTCTTCCATGGAGATTCCTGTAACTACCAGTGATTCATCTTTCCTTGTTGTTCTGCTTTTGCCGTTACTATTCTCAAGCAGGTTTTTTTCCTGCATGTGTTATCATGCACTAGTTCAAGTGATTGGTAGTGGGAGATGAGGAGAAATTCGTTAGTCGATGGTCATTTTGAATCAGCTCAGAAGCTATGATGAACATTTGCTCACTTCTGGCAGGTCCTCTGTGGCCCATCTGGAACAAATTAGTTTTCTTGGCACTGTTTTACTCGCACTGTAAACTCTTTGGGGCAGCGAACAGTACCTGGCATTAGCCCTAATCTCCAACTGAGCTCCCTAAGTACTACAGCAGTATAAATAAGTAGTAATTAGTTCAGATGATCAGATGAATCCTTGTGTTGAACCGCTAGCTCAGATGTGGACATCCACTTTACAGACATTTGGGTGGATTCAGTTCCAGGCTGAGACATCTGAATGAGTAGGTGTTACCATGGATGCTGGCCAGCTAAACTCCCATTAGTCAATGGAGATGGAGTTTTCAGCCGGCAGAACCTGGTTTATGCTAACATGGACACCAGGGGTGAGATTCAGTTGCCTAAAAGTAGGTGTCTACCATCATTTAGGTGCTATGGGTATCCTGCCTGGCCTCCACCTACTGCCAGAAACCCTCCTGTAAATCGTCCTGTAAATCCTGCCAGCCCTGTGCAGAATGTCTCAGTGCCTTAGGTCATCCCAAATGTCACGAGGTGCCTGTGTTTAGGCAACTGTATCCTAACTCTGTGGGCTGGCCAGGTAGAGCATTCCGTGTTTGCTCCACTGGCTGCATTGACTAGATGTCTTCTTACTGTGGTAGGAGCTTGGATACCCTGTGTGCAGAGAGACACCTAAATGTAGGTTGTTTAACCTCAGAATTAGTCCTGTGCCCGGTATACCTGTTGGGTTGGATCTGGCCCTCTACTGACCTGACTGCTGCTGATGTACTTGTGGTCTTCTGGGAATGTTTGTAGGCAGCCCCACTAGAGAGGCAGCCTTACTTTCCATAGTTACTATTTTGGAAGCAGCTTCTTGTAACTTCTGCAGAGCCACTTGCATCTCAACAGTTTCAAAGTGGTTTCAAAGCAAAGGTTTCAAGCTACTTTTGCTTCCCTGTTTCTTCCCCAAACTACAAGTGTTGATTAGAGTAGTGGTTGTACAAGTGGTCATACAGATGTGGATAGTCCCCAAACCATGAATGTTGTTGTCTGGTCTGTGCATGCTGCACAAAGGGAGATGGGCTACAGTCAGAACTGGACACATACCACCACCTGCCTCACTGGCTCTTCTCGCTTATGATGAGAAACTGATGACTGTGCAGAGACTTGTGCTTTATGTAAAGGCAGGAGGAATGAGCAACCATGTAGGCAGGACTTCAAATGACTGAAAAGACTGTGTTGATGTTGATGTGCCTGAAGCCCCCTTCCTGCTTGTCGAGGGCACCGATCAATGCTGTTACAGATATTTCTTCATGGTGCAGCTAGATTAGGAAAAATGGACTGGGAGCTTGAAAAAGGTATGGGTCCTGAGGAGACTTCATTTGCTGTTTGTCTCCACCCATTGCTTGCATTAGTTCCTGCCTCTGTCCTCCTCTGTATGCAAGTCTGCTTCAGTTCCAGTGAGGTGGAAATAAGGCAGGCAGCCCCAGGAGGAAGGGAAGGAAGCAAGAGGGAAGACTGCCTGATGTTGTTCTGCATGTCCAGACGCAATGCTAGAGGGCAAGAACTTGTACCCAGCAAGGAGGGGAGATGCCAAGGACAAGGGTCAGGAGAACAGCTGTGGCTGCTCTGATCACTCACGTGGATGATACGATGCTGATACAAGTTCGCTGAATGTCAGCAAAAGTGCTCAGCACCAAAGCCAAAGGGAGCCTGGGCTCTGCCAGCTCTGGTGATGTTGCTGCTTGTGAACAGCCAGGCCCCTGTGCAGGAGCAGCAATTTAGGGCGGTTCAACAAAGAAGCCTGATACCCCAGGGACTGTACAGGGTGGATGTCTGCTGGCTAAAGGACCCAGCAATGAAGGTAAAAAACCCCCTAGAATAGGAGAAAACAGAAACAAACAGCTCATTCCCCTCACATCTGAAAGCTACAGAGAACCTTCCTCACCGGAGGTAGTGGCAGGCAATTTTCAGCTCTCTGGCATATTCTTGAGGTGCCCCACACCCCTGGAAACTTTTTCTAGTGGTTCGTCTCCCCGCTCTCCCCCACCATGGTCTAGTCATCATCCTTGTTCTGGTCTTCCTATGCAATGGCAAGATGCCTTTCAGCAAAGGGTGTCCATAGATATTTTCCCAGTTAATATCCCATTGTTGATGTCCCAGTTTACCATATGACCACATTTTTTATAGTGGGCAAGAATCCTGATAACCTGTCTCGGAGCCTTAGCCTCATCCCTTCGCTGTTCCAGGTAGTAATGTTCCGTTGGTTCCTAGTGATGTCCCTTGCAAATGTTTTCTCTCCCCAAATTCAATCAAGTCCAGTACATCTGGACAGCTCAGTGCTTCTGGATCCAACACCAGAGTTTCTGTTGTGGTTGGGCTTGGGTCTCGGCTTGGCTGACCAGTGCTATGTCGTGCTGTCATTTGGAATTAATGCTGGACTCTGTAACATGATGAACACTGAGGTGTTTGGAGATGACCAAAAAAAGACCCGTTACCAATGAGTATTCAAGTAAAAAAGAGATTATATGGGCAAAGGCCTGCCCATGAAAGTAGGGATGACCCCATGAGTGTATCTTCAGCTGATGGTTTCAGGGTCCAGAGAGCAGAAAGGAACTGGTAAGATGGTCTTGGCTGAGGGAAGACCAGTACTGAGGAGCATCAGGTGCCCTTTATTGGGTCTTTTGTGCTGGGATGAAGTTTCCTTTTCACAATTTTTTCAATAAATTCCATCCAATGGAATGGCTTTGTGCTGATTCCATGTTTTGCATCTGCAGCAACTTTTACCCAATTCTAGGCACCCTGAAACTGGATTTAACATCTTGTGGAAGCAGATATTCATTCAAACTTTATCACATGCTGAACAGTCGTGGGATTGTTAAAGTTAGAAATTACTTAAGTGTCTTGCTGAAATGGTGGACTGAAAGATATTATTTGTTGCAATGATATGGATTGTAAATGGTTTTGTGATGAAGAAAGATATATAAATGTAGAAAGAGTG